TCATTAGATCCTACAAAATACATTTATGGTGCAAATAAAATGCACGTTTTCTCTCAACCTCACTCCTTACCTGTTATGCGAAGAGAGTTCGATACGCTGGAAGTAGTTATAAGATCGAGCACAGGACAAAAAATACCATTCCAGTTTGGAACCGTGTGTATTAAACTACATTTCTGAAAATTATAATAATTAATTCTCTTCGTGATCATCATAAATGTCCATATGAAAATTATTATACACATCAAGCTGGGTCAGGAGATGGAGTAATTTATAAGGGTTCACCATACCAACGCGGTCATGTTATTGGTAGCTTCTTAGGGGGGTTATTTAGATCAGTTTTACCTTTACTTTCAAGTGGTGATCGAGTGATTAGTAAGGAGGCATTAAGCGCTGGAGTAGGACTTTTATCGGATATGGTTCAAGCGCGTCCTATGGAAGCCTCAATAAAAGATCGTTTAAAGCAAGTTAGTACGAATTTAAAACGAAAGGCTGATAAGAGAATTTAACATGACAGGATCTGGGTATAAAACTAAAAGAAAACGATTGACCTCATTTATTCCACCATTAAATGCTAAAGTGAAAGCTGCGAAAAAACTTGGTGTAAAACCAAAAAATATCAAAGATATATTTTGAAATTAAATATGTCTTTCCTCCATAATCATTCTTGCGAGTGCGTTAAGTCAGAATTGGATTTGTTTGCACTACCGTCTACACAAACTAGCATTGAAAATGGATTGTGGATTTATTTTAAACCAATTTCATCTCTTGGTGATGATGGACCTATCGAGTTTCAAGTTCCTGGGACAGGCGATGACTACATAGATTTGTTTCATACATTACTCCACATAAAGGCAAAAGTATTAAATCAAGATTCAACTAACTTGATATCTACTACAATAGTAGCACCTGTAAATAATTGGCTGCATTCACTTTTTAGTCAACTTGATGTTTATTTAAACCAAAAACTTGTATCACCACCTAATAATATCTATGCATATCGAGCATACATGGAAACCCTTTTAAACTATGCTCCTGCTGCTAAACAATCTCATCTTACTTGTAGTCTTTGGTATGAGGATACAGCAGGAAAAATGAATTCTACCAGCTGGTAAAAACATAGGATTTGATAAAAGACAGGAATTGATTAGTGAAAGTAAGGAAATAGAAATGATTGGTCATCTTCACGGTGACATTTTCAACCAAGATAAATTTTTAATTAACGTTTTGTCAACCGCTTACCCTTTCTTGACTCATGGCCCCCTTTGGACCAATCTCGTACCCTGGCCGAAAAGAGGTTGCTTTCCATGGAGCACCGTGTGCGATGCGACCTAGCCTTTCGCGACAAATATGTCGAGTTCATGCGCGAGTATCAAGAGCTGGGTCACATGTCACCGTCCAACTTCGACTGGCGATACAGGAGCACTACTTCCTCCCTCACAATGCGGTCTTGAGGACCCCTGGGAGTAAGTAGGTAGTTTTTGACGGCTCCGCCCCCTCGTCAAATGGTGTGTCCCTGAACCAGTGTCTCCACCCTGGTCCTAAATTGGTCAAGGACATATCCGACATTTTGACCCACTTCAGTCGGCACCAAGTGGGTTTTGTAGCCGACATTCGGATGATGTGTCGACAATCAGTGGTTCATCGTGATGACCGTCGATATCAAATGATATTGTGGCGCGAGAAGCCCAGCGATCCGATACAGGTGTTTGAGTTGAACACCACCACCTATGGACTCCGGTCCAGCCCGTATATCGCCATGCGAACCCTCCTCGAACTAGCTGAGAGAGAGCGTCTAAAATACGCTCGGGGGGCTTCTATTTTGGAGACTTCGGTCTACATGGACGACATTTGCACGGGGTCCTCCACCGTTGAGGATGCTCTTGTATTGCGAGACGAATTGATTGCCATCCTGAAGTCTAGAGGTTATGAGTTTTTGAAGGAATTTTGAAGGACCTCCCAGGAGAGGATCAACAAGACCCTCATTTATTCGAGCACCCTGAAAATCCTAATTTGTTGACTGTGCTGGGCATTCAATACCAGCCTGTTCAGGATACTTTCACGTATCGAGTCAAACTTGATCCCCCTCCTAAATCATGGACCAAGCGCTCCGTGCTGTCTACAGTAGCCCGCACCTTCGATCTTAATGGATGGATCACTCCGGTCATTTTTTTGGCTAAGTGCTTTCTTCAAAAGCTCTGGATATCCGAGTTGGGTTGGGACGACCCTATAAGCGGTGCTCTCTTGCGAGAGTGGCACTCCATTGTGTCCTCACTTGCGGACATCAACCGGGTCTCCATGCCAAGGTGTTTTCTCCCTCCAGGGAAATGCAGGGCTACCCTACATGGATTTTGCGACGCCTCTGCGAAAGGCTATGCTGCTGTCATAAATTTGCGGACTGTCAGCTCTTCTGGCCATACTTCCGTCTATCTCCTACTTGCTAAAAGCAAGGTTGCTCCCATTAGGTCCCGCTTAAAGTAAAGTAAAGTAAAGTTACAGCTCATATACGTCCCACTGCTGGGCACAGGCCGCCCTTCATTTCTGAGAGGGTTTTAGGGCAAGGAAGTGTCCGCCGCACTGCCCAAATACGTGTTGGCGAACTTCACATGTCTTCGAAGGTCCCGTTTAACTATCAGTAAATTGGAACTGTCCGGAGCCGCCCTTCTCGCGCGACTTTGAGGTCTGTAATCGACACCACGGACGTCTACGCTCGGTCGGACAGTTAGATAGTACTTTGTTGGTTCAGAGCTGCAACTCACAATCTTGAGGTCTTTGAGGCGAACCGCGTGTCTCAAATCCAGAATTCTGGCACGTCTATAAACTGGAGACATGTCCCAGGGGAGTTGAATCCCACAGACTGCGCTTCTCGCGGCTGTAAACCCCCCTCTTTGGTTGACCACCCGCTGTGGTTGGGTCCCAGTTGGTTGACTGAGTCTCAGTCATTCTGGCTCCAGAATAAATACTCCGAACCGATTGAATTGCCTTGTCTTCGTGCCCGAGTAGAAGTGGGAAAGGATAAGCCCACTCGGGATTTCTGCCAGCTGCAGCTGCAGCTGCCAGAACGGTACAGCTCTCTCGATAAGCTCTTAGGAGTGACTGCTTGGTTGCGTCGTTTTGTCCGCAATTCGAGAGACCCGTCCAACCGAATCTCTGATTCCGTTTTGTCCCCTAGCGAGCGTCGCGAAGCCTTGAATGCATTAGCATTGGAACCGTATGGTCCAAGCGGAGCATTTTGAGCCCCTGATTGAAACCTTGAAGCGGGGCTCCGTTGACAAGGGCGCTCTGGCCCACCTGAACCTCTTCCTGGACGACGCTGATATGCTGCACGTTGACGGACGTTTGAAAAATTCACAACTGCCGTACGGGGCTCGACATTCGTTACTGCTTCCTAAGGACGGCGTCTTTGTTCGGTTGCTGGTAACTCACCATCATGTTCAGAATGTCCACGCTGGGTGTAACGCTCTTTCGGCTATTTTGCAGCGGGAGTTTTGGATTTTGGCTGGCCGACGCACCATTCGGAGCGTCCTTTTTAAGTGCATACCTTGTTATAAACTGAAGGCCACCATATCGCAGCCTATGATGAGTGACTTACCAACCGACCGCGTCAGGGCCATCCGACCATTCGCTGAAGTCGGAACCGATTTTGCTGGCCCCTTCCTCGTCAAGTCCTCCAACCTTCGTAATGCGCGTTCATATAAGGCCTATCTGTGCGTTTTCGTGTGCCTCCCCACTAAGGCCGTTCACTTAGAACTTGTAAGTGCCCTCAGCACTGTAGCCTTTGTAGCCACGCTAGGCCGCTTCGTATCGCGTCGCGGTTTGCCGGACCTGATCCGGACCGATTACGGTACGAACTATAAGGGAACGGATAGATATTTGAAAGAGGTCGTCAAATTTCTGTGTCTCTGTGTGGTATCCAGAGTACCTACATCTTTTTCAGCAGCGCGTTAAGTAGTCTGACAAGATGGATCCTCCTCCGGTTGGACACCTCGTGTTAGTTAAAGAACCTAACGCTTTGCCTTTGTATTGGCGCCGTGGGCGCATTGTTAAGTTGTCGTATGGACCGGATGGGGTGCCTAGAGTGGCCGAGGTTTTGGTTGGAGATTCCGTATTGCAACGTGTAGGTTAGAATCGAAATACGTCGCATTAAGACTGCCTCCTTTGCGTTGTCTTATTTCGTTCATATACGTGACAACGAACCTTTCGTTGAGTTTGAGTGATTAATTTAACTTCGATTGCCATTAATTTGCGTCGACGAGTGGCTTGTGTAGTATTTTAATATCGTACGAAGGAATTTTGCTTTGTCAGTTGGAACGCTAAACTTTGTGACCCGGGAGAAGATCGCGTTCCTTCTTCGATTATAGTTTTGGGCTAAGTGGCGTTAGACGTGAGTTCGGATAACGGTGAACGCCCACTGGAGTGATTGCACCTTATGGAGCAGGGCAACGCATGTGGGTTTGCTGGCCGATTACATCGGTGACATCAGGTTACATTACACACGTTCCCACACCACTCACACCTACCATTTACTTACCCCTGACGGTACTTTGTGGTCGACCCTACCTCCGGAACTCGGTAAGTTTGTGTTTGCTTATCCAGCAATTACATAATAATTATCCATAGGAAATTTGGGCCCGAACCCTCGTGTTGCCGTTAAGTTGGGTTACTATGGGCCCTAGCTCAGACGACTTCGGTTGGGACAACTGAGGGCCGTAACAACCGTCACCGAGCAAAACCTGGCAGACCGAGTTCGGTATATCTTACGCTCAAATATATTTGATGGCGTCGAACTCGAACGGCTACGACGTGAGGCTGTTCCCTCATCAAATTAAAATGCTACGACTGAGGATGCGGTGCCACAAGTTGCAGAACAACCCGCACACCTGGATGCCGCCGTGAATACCCCAGTGGTTGCTGATTCAAATGATAATTGAACATTCACCCAGGAACTAGAAATAGAGCAAACGAGGAGTACATTCCAAGAGGCGATTGTGGAAACGCGCAGTATGCCTCTCGAAAATCGACCGCGACTTCCCCGAATAGCCCTAAGCAAACGGAATCGGGCTGTCGTGAGGACTCTGAACCCAATGCTGGTGACCCATTTAGAAGCCAGCCGGGACCTTTGCGATACGGATTCAATTCTTTTTGGCACCGCGCTGGAAGTCTGCCGTACTATAGGGGCAAAGGTTTCCACGGCTGGACGCGCTACTGGCCAAAGTAGCGCTATCCCAGCATGGAGAAAAAGAATTGAGGAACATATCGCAAAGGCTAGAGCTCTCATCGGCAGACTAATATGCTTCAATAACAGGACAAGAATTGTGCGCACCGTCAGGATGGCGTTTGCTGGGACAAATATCAGTATTTCCCAGCTTGATATAACGCAAGAACTGACGGAGCGCATAGATGATCTGAAGTAGAAAATCGCTGCTTGGGGATAGCGGATTCGACGATATACCGAGAGGTCGACACGGTTCAACCAGAATCGTCTCTTCCAGAGTGATCAGAAGAGGTTCTATGAATCATTGAAGCGACTATTGGTAAGTGGAACGGGCCCAGCACCGAATCAGGCCGACACTGTAGCATTCTGGCGCGGCCTGTGGTCAGAGCCCGTAAACCACAGCGAAGGCCCTTGGACAGAAGTTGTGGCGAGTCAGTGTGCGAGTATAACGCCCATGGACCCCGTCATTATAACACCGGTTGACGTAGCTGAGGCAGTCCGTAGGGCCCCGAACTGCCCCCCGAACGGGTTCCCACCTTGTCGTGGCGGGGGGGCTTAGAAGCCGTGGCTTGGTCTCCCACGGTGAACAAAGAGGAACCCACGTGGCTGGCCCGAGGTGAAGGGCCGGCCTGAGGTGGCCGCTCCGAGTGGGCTTGGGGAGCCCACTTCGGATGTGTGCTGGTGGATTGCAGCGAGTGGGGACTCGCGCACCCTCTACCGCTGCAGCCGAGGTGGAGTCGCGGAGGAAGAGGAGTGTTGGTATGGCGATGCGCCGCTCTCCCTATCCTTCGCGACTCAAACGGGGCCGCACCGTTGATGCGGTGGTGGTGGGTTTGCGGGGGGAGAGGATTGTCGGTATTGCGAGGTGCCGCTCTCCCTACCCTCCGCAGCCGAATCTTGGTTGGCGGCGGAGCCATAGACCAGATCCGCCGCTGGGGTCGGGAAGGCTAGTACTTCTAAGTGCTCGTTTTTCCTGGCCCCATGGCCTTTGTGCATCGGACGCGGGGGCGTCTGTTGCACAGACGTAGTTGGAGGCCGTGGAGGAAGGCGCGCCATGTGTTCTGGTGCGCCTTACCTGGGAAGGAGAACGGGGAGGAATTTTCCTCTCCCGAGGAGGTGCTGCCATGGGGCGGCAGGCGCTTGTAGGGCCGCGGATGTGTGCGAAAGCGTTCCCGTAGCCCTGCTAATATGCGACAAAGGCGGAACACCATGGGGTTTTAGTCGGTGTGAGTCCGACATAACCCGTCCTTGCCCCCCGCGAGGCGGGTATGCGTAGGCATTTCCCCATGCAAAAAAAAAAAAAGGCCCCGAACTGGTAAAGTCCGGGACTCTACGGGCTGCATCACTACTGGCTAAAGGGGTTCGTGGTGTGTCACACTGTGCTCGCCCGACAGTTTCAAGAGGATTTCAACCAGAAGTCGCTCCCGAGCCTCTTCACTACTGGGATCACCCATTTGGCTCCTAAAGACCAGGGTACTACAGACCCGAGCAAATACCGCCCCATCACGTGTCTATCGACCATATACAAGACACTAAGATCCATTTTGAGCGCGAGAATCACTCGTTACCTGAACTCAAATCAGGTGATGTCGCGCGCTCAAAATGGATGTCGAGGCGGTGATCGTGGAACCAAGGAACCACTTCTCATTGACGCGGTCATTGGCATAGTGGTGAAATGCAACCGTCGGAACTTCTCCGCCGCCTGGATAGACTACAGAAAGGCATTCGACTCAAGGTGCCCCATACATGGTCTAATCTGTCTAGTCTATCTTGTACATAAAGAGAGTCCTCGAGCTGTACAAGATAGACTGTACAGTTAGAGACTTCCTCAAGCAGTGTATGGGGCAGTGGAGTACGATCCTTTGTCATCTGGGTGAGCGGATGATGGCTGCTGAGAACCACATAAGGATAAGGAGGGGTATCTTCCAGGGCGATTTTCTGAGTCCAATCTGGTTCTGCCTCTCTCTGAACCTTTTCAGTATCTTACTGGAGGGCTCCGGGAGGGGATTTCAGCTACAAAAAGGAGGGACAAAAGTGACCTACCTTTTCTATATGGATGAACTCAAGTTATTCGCCTCCAGTCGCTCCCATCTTATGGAATTGCTAAACATCACTTGTGAATTTAGCAATTCCGATGGAATGGAGTTGGGGACGGATAAGTGTTCGGTCCTCCATGTTGAAAAGGGAAGGGTTGTTAACTCTGAGAGCATAGACTTATCTATGCCCGTCAACTTAAGGACCCTTTCCGATGCTAAAACATACCGATACCTGGGTATGTCACAGAACATCGGTATCGATGAGGCTGGTATGAAACAGTCAGTTTGCGACGTGTTTTATGCACGCTTGACCAAATTGCTTAACAGTCTTTTGTCTGGTGTGAATAAGACACACGCATATAACGGTTGGGTCATGCCTGTTCTCATGTATACCTTTGGCATACTCAGGTGGACTCAGACTGAACTTAATGCCCTGGATAGAAGAGTCCGCACTACTATGACGTCCCATAGGATGCATCATCCGAAATCGTCGGTAATGAGGCTGTACTTGCTGCGAAAGCATGGTGGGCGTGACTTTTTGAGCGCGCTCACCATGCATAATCGCGAAGTGTGCAGCCTCCGTAATTACTTCCTGGTGAGAGCGGATGAACTATTCTATAAGGACGTCATTTCTTGTCATAAAGGACTTACCCCACTATCCTTAGCCAACGAGCAATGGCAAGATTCGGCAGTGCAGAGCATTTCCAACCGGGAGACCGTATGAAGGGAGAAGGAGCTCCACGGGAGGTTCTACCAGGCTCTACATGAGCCTTTCGTAGACACAGTAGCCTCCCTCACTGGCTACACTTTGGTGACCTCTTCGGGGAAACCGAGGGTTTTGTCTGTGCAATACAGGATCAGGTTATTAAGACCGACAACTATCGGAGATACATCCTAAAGAATGGCACCGTCGACATCTATCGAGCTTGTCGCCATCCCGGCGAGTCACTTAGGCATGTCATCGCTGGTTTTTAGGCGCTTACTAACTCTGAGTACTTGCACAGACACAACGTAGTAGCCAGAATTATTCACCAGGAGCTCGCTCTGAAATACGGTCTTGTGGATCGGAAATTGCCATATTACAAGTACTTGCCGGAAGCTGTGCTCGAAAATGATCGCGCCAGGCTCTATTGGGACCGGGCCATCATCACAGACAGGACTATTCTTGCGAATAAGCCTGGTATTGTGCTGATGGACCGGGTACAGTCAAGGATATTTTTGGTCGACATTACCATTCCGTATGACGAGAACCTCGTGAAAGCCGAAACAGATAAGCAAACAAAATATCTGGACCTGGCTCACGAAGTGACCGACATGTGGGATTTTCTGCCGACCGAAATTATTCCTGTAGTCGTCTCTGCGAACGGGCTAATCCCAGTCAGCCTCTCGGATCATCTGAGGCGGCTGGGACTACGTGTACGGACCGCGCCAGGCTCAAATGCAGAAGGCGGTTCTCCTCGATACTGCCCGTATCGTCCACCGGTTTCTTTCGCTTTCCCCTTAGCCCTCGGCCATTTGGTCTCCCCTGCCGAGGGCCTCCATCTGGTTGGGCTTTTATTTATTTATGTATTTTTATATTTATTTTATTGATATTTATGTATATTTATCTTTTCATTTCCATTTATAATTATATATTTATAGAACCCAACCAGATGAAAAATCTATATTGATAACCCTCAATAATCATAATAAAAGGCAATAAAGACTACGCTAGGAGGAAGTAACCTCTATTATACATACGCTTTTTGTTCATTTATCTAAAAACAGAACACGTTATTAGAATGAGCGTGGAGTTTATTTTCATATTATTAGATTATCTAAAACACGACTAAGTTAGTTGTAAAAGTTAATTAAGTTTTACGTAACGTGCAGTAAGTTAAGAAAATATTAATGAGGTGTAGTGTATTCTAGTTTATCTCTTCGTAACTCTACATTTTACGCGGTAGAGCCATGCTGCAGTTATATTAGTAGTATAGTTGTAGCACGAATGGGTCGGTTAGCCTGCGGAAGGACCACGCTCTCACAGCATATCATAACAGCGGCAAATATTAGCTTAATGCTGCTGTGTTTCGTATGGTAAGTGTAGAGAACCGGAGACCTTTTTACTGGAAACGAGGCATTCCATCTTAGTCCTCACGGGTGACAACGCATCTGCAATTATATTCATAATCGCGGATAAATATAGATATCTATAAGCCACAGCAACCACCATCAGCTGGACTGTGTGCTCGTTTGACACCCTATCCTATAAAAGAAAAGTAAGCCATATACGCAAATTGTCGCAAACTTAAATGCAACAAAAAATAACAGCGTGAGAAAGGGTTCTTATTGTTGTGAAAAATATATAATTTACAATAACTTAATATGAGATCTTTTTACAATATAGACCATTAAAAGTACAATTCTGAATTTAAACTTACCCCATAGATCGCCTCATATGAGAGATATTCGCTATAGTTGTCACGCTAGGAAACTTTTTCTTTAAAAAAAAAGAGCTACCTCCACACAAGAAATTTCTTCTTTATCGTGGGGGCATTTTCATACATAAATTGCACAAAAACAACTTTGTGATTCGATCCCGTGGCCCTTAGCGCTGCAACTCATTGTTAAGCCACTGTGCGACGGGGCGATCTAGTTGGGTTGGGTTAGCAATCGCAGTTTGATTTTTAGATGTTATCAGGAAGATGCCGCTGCCTATCCCTGATTTCATATCCCCCTTTCACCTCTCATCATATCCACGGAATGTAATGGAGTAGTGGAATTTCGTATATACCATAGCCCAACTGCTCAAAGGAGATAATTTCTTTTTGTATGGAGAATGGGCCCACCATAAATTTTAGCAACCCTTAATGAAATGCATGTCGATTTTTTCCTTATAAATGCATTGCGAACACTACACAATGATTAAAACTACTTTTGTGGATTTTATCACGCTTTATTTATTTGATTTTTAATATCCGACGTTTTGGCTTAGTTCATTTTGCGTAGATCGGACCAAAGACAATAATTAAAAAGCTGAAGGTACTCCAGGTTAACTTTGATATCGAGACGTCAGTTACCTCACTTCCCTGTGATGATTCCCATGATGGTGCCGTAAAGCACCCGAAACGTCAGATATTAAAAATAAAATAAATAAAATTTGAGTCTATATGTTTATACCTTT